AAAAAAAAACACTTTCTATTGTTAAGTGTCTCACGTCTCTAATTCTTGCCTAATCCATGTCTAATCTTTACTATTTAATTTGGTAATCCTTACTATTTATTTCAGTAAAGATTGGACATAGATTAGACAACGTTTAGAGACATCATACGCTTAACAGTCGTAAGGGATTTTATTTTTTTAATTTTGAATAGTGTGGTTATTCCAGAGGGCCATCGATATGTAGTTCTGAAAAATTATTTTGTTTCAAAAGTTTTGCTTTCTGTTGATTTTAATTGAGGTACATTTCAGTGTAAGCTCTGTGGCGATACTTTTCCCGAAATTTTCTACCTTCGTTTTTTTTTAGTTGTAACTCAAATATTCGTACAGATCACAGTTGGGGGGTAGTGCACTAAATTTTGAGGCATTTCACTAGCAGTAAACATATTGGAAGAAATCACATTTTTCACTATTTATCACCCGCTTAGTGATAGTGGAAAATTTCTGCACTACCACAAAAAACTTTAGTGGTAGTGGTATTTTGTTTCACCATAACTAAATTAAATAAAATAAAATTATAATATGCTATAAACAGTTAACTCAGTCTTTCAATTTAATGAAATGTTTCTATGTTCCATTAACATTAGTGTTGGATTTTTTTCCACTATCAATTTTAAAGAAGAAAAAAATTGTTCACTATTTGATGGTTAGTTTTAGTGAAAAAATTGTATTTCACTATCACCAATGTACAGTTAGGCTGATATATTACAATTCAACACTAAACATCAAGAGTAGTGGTGAAAAATGTTGCACTATCACTAGCTACTAGTGTACACTGAAACTCTCGTACATAATCTTTTCTTTTTTTAAGGAAAGTGAAACTGTACAAAAGTTAATTTTTGTTATGAATTTTAAAATTCACAGCACAGCAGTCAATCGGTAAGGTGCAGACGCAAAAAAAGCATGCCGTGTGAATGTCAAATAAATTGTCGACAGGTGGTAAAGGAAAACATCAAAAGCAACGTAGAAATTTAAATGAATTCACAGCATCATCTTGCAGTAATAATAAGAATAATAATAATAATAACGTTAGTACGTAAGGTGGCGTCGATTTGCAAAGCAAGTCGCGTTTGTTGTAAGTCAATTAAATACGGCCGTAGCAGGCAGCATACATATATATACATATATGCACACTAGGGTGATCCAAAATAACCTGTTTTAATGCCTTCACCCCAAAAATTTCAATAAGGAGGCTCATAAACAATCTTTAGTATTACAAAATCGTGAAATAAATAGTTGGGTTTTATTACTGGAGGCCCCATGAGGAGAAATATATTGAAATACTAATTTTCCTATATAAAATACATAAAAAACTTTGAATACTTTGAGCGATCTCTAAATATTTTTTGATTTTGACATAAAAAAAAACAGTGGTACATATATTTTTTTATTAGGGGGTGAGAGTATTAAAATTCCGATTTTTCCCCACATGCGTTTTGGAACCACCCTAATGTACATACATTGATACATGCAGATCTCTTCCGCATAAGCAAGAGTGTAAGCGTGTATGAATTTATTTTGGTATGAAATAAAAGATTTGGCACGAATTACACGGAAAATTCACACCTATGTACAATTACACCCAAATGTAAATGTATGCAGAGTTGAAAATGTAAAAAAAAAAAGTAAGAAAGTCTAAGTTCGGGCGGAGCCGAACATTAAATACCCGGCGCAAGTATTAAATATATGTTTTCCACCTTTCCGAAAGCTACCGCTACATGATAAGCCGGGGTGTATACATTTTAAGTAAATTAGCGTCCTTAAATTTCGAAATATTGCAGTTTCAAGCATATCGGAAATTTACCGTTATATGAAAAGCGGCCTCAATTTTAGTCCGATTTCAACAATTTTCAACGGTTTGCTTTTATGTGGCAAGCACAATAACCATACCGAGCTTGGTACAAATTGCTAGAACGGTTAGCGAGATACATATATGTGATCACAAGTGGGCGGTGCTACGCCCATTTTCCAAAATTTTGTCATAAACGTATTTCTTGGTAAAGAATTGTTGCAATCATCAATTTTGAATAAATTAGCTTCAATATTTACTGATTTATCGAAGATTTTGTATTTCTCGAAATTACCGTTATATGGGATGTGGGCGTGGTTATTGTCCGATTTTAGAAATTTTCGGCCAGTTGGTATGCTGTATCAGGACCAACAACTGTGCCAAGTTTGGAAGAAATTGGTGTAGCGGTTACCAAGATATACACATGTAACCATAAGTGGGCGTGGCTACGCCCATTTGCCAAAATTTTGTAATATTCTTATTTTTCGTCTAAAACTCATTGCAAATATCAATTTTGAGTGAATTATCTTCAGTAGTTACTAAAATATCGCAGTTTTCGTTTTTCTGAAAATTACCGTTATATGGGAGGTAGGTGGTTATTATCCGATTTCGCCCATTTTCAATACCATCTGTCCCACGCCCAAAAGAAGTTCACGTACCAAGTTTCGTTAAGATATCTCAATTTTTACTCGAGTTATCGTGTGCACAGACGGACGGACGGACGGACAGACAGTCACCGCTTAATCGATTTCTCTTTTCATTCTGATCATTTATGTATACATTTGTCTATATCTATCTCGATTCGTTTTGCCTGTTACAAACAACCGTTATGTGAACAAAGTTATAATACCCTTGTGCACAAGTGCGCTCGGGTATAAAAATATATACGGCGACATGAAAACAGGAGTTGGAGGGACAAATATGAAAAATATATAAAAAAAAACAGCGCAAGTGAGTGGGCCTAAAATTATCACTCGAAGTGTTGGAGCGTTGATCCAGAGGCGACCGGGTACGGTAGTTACTGTTTTCAAATGGTGAAACAGCGCAGTGGATATACATACACACATTCATATTTATGCAAACGAATAAATCTGTATGTTTTTACGAATAAAATTTTATTTGAATTTCAAATACATTGCGTATCATTGCTGTATCCGAGGCCGGAATGAGTTTTTGCTGTCTGAACTATATAGTATGTACATATATTTACGAAAAAGAGACGAAAATTGAATTTATTTTGTATTTACATACATACATACGCACATATATAGGTGCATTAGACCTTACAAGCAAACCAAAAAGTCCGCTGTATATCCCTGAGTCTATAGACTTCTTGTAAGCGATTTCGAAAAACATTTTTTTTCCGAACTTAGGGGTCGCCTTTTTAAATTTTCCGGTGACACCTAGGAGTACAATAAATAGTTTTTTGTTTTTTAAATAGTTCTGCTGGAATAATCAAAATATTTCTTAAGCAAAAGAATAGTGATTTTTGGTTAGCGTTTATTTACTGGAATTAGGGGTGACACGTCAGGCTGATCAGAACTGACCACGAGACGAAACCATCCTTTATATCATACTTTAATAGCCGACTGCCAATGCCAAAGATATGACGAAAAATTTAAAAGGGCGACCCCAAATGGGGAAAAATTTATTGAATAAAGATAAAAATTCATATACAATACATACATAGGTTTTTTTTTTTTTTTTGTAGCGGAATCCGAATATGGGGATCCCTGGATTCTTCAAGGTCATCTAGAGATAATTGTACTGCATTTTCAAGTTTATTCAACGAATTTCTCCCTACTTGATATTCGAGACTAAAAGACCTCGGATTCGCAATCAGCGCGTCTAAAAACAGAGGGAAACGTTTTTTTTTTTATTAATGTTGATCATTTTAAATAATAAAAAAAAAATAAATAAAAATAAAAAAAATTCTATACGATCATTCAGTTTTTTGTGACTTGAAATTGTTGATCGAAATGAAATATAAATTATTTTAAAATCCAGTTTTTATTTTAAACCCCGCTATGCATGAAAATACGCAAACCTTCACATTTACAGTTACTCACAGAAGTATTCGTTAAATTTTTCCGTTAATTTTCATTTAAAATATAGCTCGTTCCACAACCTCAAACATTTAAATCAATGTTGCAATATTTCTACGAAATTCGCAAAAATTCAGCGAATTTAAAAAAATGCCCATCGAAATTTGAAGTATTTTAAAATAGATTTTCTTCATGCGTTATATTGAAAAAATGTACTAAACTGTACTGAAATTAAATGTGCTATAAAACTGCGTACTCCAAATTCTGGAAAATTCGATTAAAAAGTTTAAAATTTTAATGGGCATTTTTTGAAATTCGTTGAATTTTTGCGAATTTTGCAGAAAGACTGCAACATTGTTTGATTTATATGGTTTTGGTTTATACTACTGTAACTAACTTTACATATACATATGCACTTTGGCTTCAAGCTATATGCTGGCATAATAAAAATGTGGCAACAACAACTGGTAAAACAAATGTGCATTGCCTTGGCAGCGTTGAAAGTGGCTGAATGAAGGTAGTTACCAAAGCAGGGAAGAGCTTTGAACTAACGCAAGGAAGAGCTACTGGTGCAGCCGTACACATGTGCACATACAAAAAATAAGTATTTTTGCCAAAAGCGTAAGACAAAAGTTACTACGAGTAGGAGGTGTGTAGGCTAAATTCGCCACTACACTGTAGGTGTTTGGAAAATTGAATTATGGCACAATGGAAAAGGATAAAAATAGTTGACCTTCAAGCGTGGCGCAACTAGCAAAAAAAAAATAAATATATGATAAATTGAGGCAACAAAATAAAACTAGAAATAAGTACTACAAACTTTATATATATATCTGTGTATGTAGGTATGTATTTGTTCTGAGTTGACATCGAACAACCCGAATAAGGGGTGAATTGCATTACTATTTTCGGGCCGCAATCAAATTAAATATATGTATGTATTTCAACATTCTAATTCCATTTTCTGAACTTTATATGAACTAGCCAATATTCTTGATTACATTGCAACAATTGTCCAAACAACTTTCTACTCACATCCCCCTCTGGGACTTTAATCTAACTTTCTCTCAGCACATTCATCTTTTTAATATATTTTCCGATGTTTATATATATTTTTTTTCTACTTCAAGGTATTCGATTGCCGTTATGTCACCACAACGAGCGGTATGTTCGAAGCCATTTGCAATCACATTAAATATGCAACTAACAAAGGAAATCTCAGGTGAGCCAGCTAGCCCAACAACCAAACCAAACAAATAAATAAATATTAGTATTATCCGTTATTATTGTTTTTTGTTCGATTTTACTTGGTTTGCTCTCTTTCGTTGCACAATAGACTGTCTGCACAATGCTTATGGAATTTAATGCTTATACGACTAGACAGCTTTTGTTATCATCTTTCTGAGGCTTCATCGGAATTCGCTTTGGTTTTGGGTGGATTACGTTGAGCGTCGATTATGATTTTTGCATTTTTATGGCTTTGATTTGAAGTTTTGGCAAGCGAAATTTTGCTTTTGGTTGGTACTTAGTTAGATTTAAAATATGTGAGTTAAGTTTTTGAGCTCCTCTGGGCTTTTGAATAAACACAAATGTACAATAGTGTGTGTTAAACAAATAGTATTCAGGCGAAGCAAAAGCACATACGAACCGAAAATGCAAGTGTAGAGTTAGATAGATACTTGTAATTAAATATGTAGATATATGACAGATGTATAGTAAGAGACGTTAGATTTAGCTGTTCTTACAGGGAGTGGAGAAAAATAGTTAGATTCCTGTATTTTACTTATTCAACAGCGGCCAAAATGACCTTGAGAACTCGTTATCCACCCGCCATTTATTTATTTATTCATCATTTTTTGAAGTACATTCACCAAACGGTGGTTGTGTAGAGTCTATCTGTCTATCTCATCAGCTAGTTTGCTTTGTTCTGTTTTGTCGATTTCATCTACCCAGAAAATTGACACGTAGAGATTTTTCAATGGTGACAATGCAGTCTGACTCCGATTTTTCAAAAACGTACAAGTCCTCCGAGTATAAAGCGGCTTGGCTTCTTGCTTTATATAAATTTGAACCATCAGTGTAGATATACACTACAGAATATACCATTCTGTCAGAAACTGAATGGTAGGCTGGTCCGTAAAATATGTATCTACATCATGGGACAACCCCTTTATTTTGCTCTAAGGGCGTGTGTGAATTGGTAACAAGGTTCTGTGGGGAAAGCTGGCGAATAATGTTTTTACTATGGTGAGACAGTTTTGCCAATCTGCTGTGTGAAATAAATTCTTTTTTGACAGCAGTAAATTTTTGACAACCGCAGAATAAAATATTATAAATTGAAGTGAAATGAATGTGTGAAGAAAACATCTACCATCATTAATTGCAATTCATAAATTTAAGCTTTTAATCAATTTAATTTTAATCAAATGAATTCATTACATATTATTCTTAATTAACTAAAAAGTACTTGATCTTTAATACCACTGGATTACAAATTTTAATTTTCTTTTAGTTCTTCAGACGTCACTATCCAATTTCTATGTTGAATTTTTTTCTATGGATACGTTTTCGAGATATCAGCAATTTACCGTTATTCAGATAAAAAAAAGTGGTTTCACTTAATCATGTATATATTACGAACCGAGTGAACCATCGTAATACGAAATACGGTAAATGAAAGCTAATAAAATTCTCCATAAACCGTATATACATACATCACTTTTCGATAGGCCTGATAGTTTCTCAGAAATTAATTAAATAACTTCAGATTTTGACAAATTTCATTGGCTTTGATTTGTCGTACTTCGTATTACGATTGTTTAATTGTTTCGTAAGATATGCGGCATTAGGTGGAAGCACTTTTTTATGCTGAAAAATGTATCAATACAAAAAAAAAATTAAATCGATTTTCTGAACCACCGAGAAATTCTACATATGAATTGGATAGTGGCATCCAGAGAACATTTTTGCTGTAAACCATTGTATTCAGTGAAAAAAATTATTAAAACTTATTTCCTGTTATTGATAGGGAGTTTCTTGATAAAGAGTGTTTGGAGATATATTCGAGGTTTTGCAAATTACCGTCAATATGGCATGAAAAATAACATGATTAAATACATTTTTATCAATGTTGATATATCTGACTTTTGACTAAATAGTTTTGTTACCCAAATACTCCCATGTGCGTCTGGTAGTGAAAAAATTGAATTTTTTTAAAACTTTTGATTCCCGAGTTTATGCGTTTCTATGAATAAATTTAAAAAACATGTAAAATTAATTAGATTTCAAACCAAAACTTCTACGATTTTTTTTTAAATTTTAATTTTTTTAAACCCTGGTAGGACCCATAAAATTTTTTTTAAAATTTTGAAATTTTCGTGGTAGTTTTTATTTTGTAAGTACAACAAAATATGGGGGTGTTCCACACAAAGCTTAGATGTTTATATATTTTAAGATCCACCCTACTGCATAGTTGTCCTTGTACCGAAATTAACATAATAACACTTTTAGTTTTGATTTTTCGTCTTTTTTTTGGTTTGGTTTCAACATTTTGGCTATCCTAAGTCAGAGGGAAATCTTTACAGCCACCCCACGGACGAAAATTTATAGCGGTTGCAGGGAAATATTAAGTTCAGCTGCTCCTGCGAGCCACGGAAATACCCAGGCTTGCGTGTCTTTGGACTTTCCCCATGGATTAGAATCCGATTGACGATATCTGGATATTTGAATATGCAAATAGGATCAGCCCTATTGATTAGTCTTTCAAGTGCCCTAAGGATAAAGGTGGAAAGACCAGTCTGCCTGAACTGCTTTGCCTGTGATCGATTTAGATTTCTTATCTTTCTCGAAGTTTTTAGTACATACCCATATGATAAATGTATTACAAAGATGCCTCATACCAGGCCAAGACAAGAGTGCTGAAAGACGGCAGACTTCTTTGAATAGATCTCGGCACACTAGGCATACCAAAAATTTGGTTAGCGCTACCTCGAAAGTGGCTAGAGACCGATCAAAACCGCTGGGCCTAAACATTCTACACAAATACACTTCGCATGCAGTTAGTATCTCGTGTAACTTTGAATAACATTATATCCATATCATAAAATCAAGTGGTCTATCGTCCCATCACCCCCGCAAGGGAAACTCCTTTAAAAAGATATTAATTTATTTAACTCTTATTATTCAAATATTATCATTCACATTTTCGTAAAATCTCTACCATATGTTTATGGGCCAAGTTCCGCGCACAATCACCCCACAACATCGAAACATGGCCCCACTGCTTATCGGGAAACATATGATCCTTGAACACATTCGGCAGCTCAGCGATTAAAGTACGCACATCTGCTATGGCACTGAGTGGATCATTTTGAGCGTAATAAAGAGCTATAGGCGCCGTTATCTTCTCTAAGGGATACAGAGGTGGCTCTGCACTGCCATACCGCTCAATATTGCGCTCCTTACCATAGTCATATTGACAAAAATTCATCGAGTCTTTGAGTTGAAAATAATGCCTCAATTGTTTAATGCTAGCACCGCTAGAGGAATGTGCCGCAATAGCCGGCAAACGGGCCTGATGAAGAGTAAGAAGAGAATTAGTTATAAATGAAATCATTCAAAAATGTCACTCTAAAGCTTACTGGATTCCACATTCCATCGTGTCCGCCCAAGTAGTCGTACATGAATTTAACAAACCAGCTCTCAGTAGTCTTCGTACTGAAAAGAAATTTCCATGAGTTGTTGCGTGGTAGGATCTCAAAGGCCGAATCTTCGCGGAGAAAAGCTAAAGAGCGTATAAAAGCTTCCATCGGCGTTTTCATTTGTGACATATAGGCGACTGGCGCTAGAGCGCTCATAAGCCATACCTTCGAGTTGTACTCTGGCCGCATGGAGGCCATAACAAAGAAAACCGTGGTGCCCTAGGCAGTTAGAGTTGTTAGCGAAAACATTTCTAAGCAAACAAAATGATCGATTAAGATCGAATTATACGGAATTACTCACCTGTGAATGGCCGAAGTAAGCTAACTGCTTGTGTGCCGTCTTCTCCAGCACATAGTCTATCATGGCGGGCAAATCATTACAGCCTATTTCATGCCAAGAGAAGTCCCAAAAGGCAGATTTTTTGGGACATTTTTCAAAATGATTGCGTGAGTAAAAATTGCCGCGCGCATTTCCCAGCCAAACATCATAGCCCTGATCGTGAAGGTAGTAGCCTGGTGTAAAGAGGGATGCAGTTGGTAAATTTCAAAGTAACTTTGCACTTCAAATTGCAAACCTAGTCCTGCCTTTGGTCCCTGTATAATCCAAGTATCCGAACTATCCAATAGGCCATGCATAAGGAACACTGGTTTGCCATGTGGTTGCGCCAATCGATGCAGTTGCAGGACATACCCGTCTGAGGTGTGAACTGTATGCTCCTCCACAGGATAATTGTATTTTCGCGCCATGCCTGTCTGGAAAAGGGAAGAGTGTGGGAAATTTATATCAGCTTGATCTTCAGATCGTTTAATCGCTACTTACAAAGTCCAAGGTAGCATCTTCAATAACACTTTCGGAATAATTTTTCTTCAAATAAGTGCTTGCATTTCTACAAATTGTATTTTTGAGTTGTAAAGTTTTCTCTGGAAGCCGAAAACATCTAACGGTTTGTACATGCTTTCTTTCGAATGCTCTGCTACTAAATTGTTTTGAAAAATTTCGCGCTTGCTTTTGGCGGTAAAGGCTAGTGAGCACACAATTTCGTTCAGCTTGTAGTTGTACGGTTATTGCTGGCAGCATTTTATCTCTGCCGATAAGAAATATGAAGATAAATGAATTGAAACAAGGCGAATCTAAAGCTGTCAGGGCGTGTTTGTCATACCCTAAAGCAGTCATGTTGCGAACAAAGGTGGAAAATTGTTCATATAAATTGGTGTATGGGTGATTTCCACACAAAGTGTACATGGCAGGTATTTTTTATATTTTTTTTTCAAGATTGATAAATTTATCCTCTGAAACCGTTTACTGACGTGAAAGTTTGTACAGAATACGAAACTGCTTTCAGGCTCTTCAAAAATTAATTATTTTTCTTATTTTTGCATTTTTGTAAAATATTTTCCACAATGTCACTTTTTTTTTTAAAGTAAGCTAAAGTATGAAGCTAAGCGCACACCAACGCGTTTGCGATACTGATAGCGTTATGTTGCTCTGATTAAAGAATAAGCGACTTTTATTTTAAAATTTATCTCATTTAAAATGGGTTAGGTCACATCTGCTCTCATGGCCTCACATATAAAATTGGAAGATTTTTTACACAAAAAATTAATTTTTCCACGATATAGTCTATTTTGTGCGCGCTTCCATTTGAAAACACGTGTTGTGTTCGATTTCTATCGCTATCGCTATCGCTATCTCTATCGCTATCGCGTTGGGTGCGCAGGGCTTAAAAACAGTTAGAAAAAAGTATACTTACCGATAAGCATTGCAGTGATCTTTAACATTAAATGCAAATTTGCAAATCACTTTAAAACTCATTTATCAGATAAGCTAATGAAGAAATAAGCTATTTAAATAAAAAATCTTTTTCCACCTAAAAGTGACATTCTGGAAATATTAAAATTTTTTAGTTCCTAAGAGTCTTATTTCACGAAACCATAAAATCAGGGAAATCACTAAAACCCCTGAAGCAATAAACATATACTAGTAATTGTCTTATTTTTAGTGTTTTTTTTGGATAAAAAAACTGGGTGACATTCCGCAAATATTTAGCCTAACTTTACATGGTGCACTGATAAATTCACTTAAAAACACAAAATAATTGTTTTCATTAAGTTATTTCTTAACTCTTCTTAACTGCAATTGTCTTAGGCAAAATTTAAAAAAAGTGACATTCTGGAAAATTTGTAGGGGGCAATATTATAATAGAAAGCTACGCTTACACCATAAAAAATTTAAAAAGGGGGGACAAAAAAATAGCACTTTGTTGGGAAATTACCCATATACATGGAAAGTGTTAATTTTCTGAAATTTTCATTTTTGATATTAAGTGCATGATATAAACATAACGTAATGCTTTTTACCATGATTAGGTGTATTTGCATATTCTTTCAGCAGAAAACTCTCAACAATGAAATTCTAACGACTTTTTATTTTTTATATCGAAAAAAGCATTAATAAGGATAAGTACTAATAAGGTGACTGCTTTTGGGGTTTTTGTAATTGAAATAATTGAAAAAATAAAACTTTTTAAATATAAAATAAGACATGAAATTCTGTTTAATCATTAGTAGATATGAAACTTAGCTGATCATGAAACTTGCAAAGTTTTAAGACTGGTTTTCACTATGTCATATTAGGTTTTTTCCCGTACGCAACGCAACAGCCAAGATGGGTAATAGAGAGCAAAAATTGGAATGTATTGGATCGTAGGTGTCTTCTTCTTCCTACCCGGGACAGCCCGCACATTTTCTCCTGGTAAAAATGGATAAAGTGCCAAAGTGCATATCAGCTGTTCTGTGTTTACATGTACTTTTTGATTAATACAATTGAATTTGTGAAAACAAAATTCAATTTCCAAGTGTTAGCATTTAAGAGTCGATAACAAAAACTACTTGAATCAGCTAGTATTTCTCAACACTTCTGGATATTTTCGTTTATTCTCTAGTTACCGGATCCGGTCCAGGTTGGACTGGAAAGAACGTATTTTGACGCCAAAATTTGTCGACATATTTTGACACAACTCTATCTTTTTCATTCAAGAAATCCTGTATATCATCAAGTCCACCTACATGTGTGTATGTATGTATAGAATTATTTAGAAAATCAACAGTAGTTTAAGGCAGTAATAGTTATGCCTATTATTCATTTTGAACTCCATCACATTCACAAGACAGAGTTTCCTAAATAGGTAACACGGCTTTTTTCCACCTTTACTCTCTTTAAATTGTAATACAACAATGAATTATTTCTTATAAATACTACCACTTTAATGCCCGCTACTTGTTGGCGACTGCTTGCACGCTCGTCGATCAATTGACAAATCAGCTGTGAAGCAAATTATCATTAGAGACGCTGTCAAAATGCAAAGCTTCTATGCCAAACTTGGCAGCACTGATAGAGCTAAATGACAGTCAGCTGTCGTCAACAGCTATCGCTGGCACTCAGTGAAGTCAAGGCACCATTTAAAATTTGAAATTCGAATCTTTTACAAAGTGTCTAATGAGGAATTTTTATTTTAATGAATACAGATCTAAAATAGTCTGCTCAATAACCTGATTATTATTGATAGATCGCGTACGCAAACTTCATGCAAAAAAGGGGAAATTGACAGAGTAAAGTGATGGTTCACTTGGAAAAAGTTTAACTAGCAGCAATCTGCCAGCAAGAAAAATATCTGATCAAAGTCATCTGTCTGCAATTGATAAAAATAATGCATTTTTTTATGACTTTAATAAGTTACCGATATACATACTTAACTTATTTGTTTGGGGAAAAGCAGTATTTGATATATTTTTTTCGTTTGCGTATCAAATTGATTTAGGCAAACTATTAATTTATATTCTTTTCATGTGTTTTGTTTATGCTTTTGTGTGTAAACAAAATTGCGATCAACTTTACTTTATACTTGCAAGTTTTTGCTGATTTTGCGTTCGCTTAATTTTTAGCATATTTTCCAATTTGATAGAGAATCGTTTGTTACTCTCCTGGAAGTTTCTGCTGCATATTTTTTACTGGAGATCTATTTGAACAGACTATAATTCATATTTAAAATTGTTATATGAGCGGTAAAATGAAATATTGAATTAAAGCGCAGGAGAATTTACAGATTAATTCTTCCGGTGAATTTTTTCTTTACCCCCCACTTTGTCTAATCTAATCGAGAATTATCGGGGAGAACTTGCCTATATAATTTTCATCGTATCATAAAAAAAAACAAAAAGGCAAATATAGTTTATGAGGAATTTAGGTAACACGCGTGGAATAAAACCGAGAAGTGATAATAATTTACTTTAGGATTTTTTTTTGCAGATAGAGGCCTTTTTTGCTAAAGTATTTCAGATCCTTTCTCTTTCCTTTCTTTCTTGGAAAATCATCTAGAATGATTTCTTAGCGAACTTATACTGCAGCGAATTCCAATCTGAGATACATAAGCATGCATGTAACTATGTACATATGTCTATTGAAAAGGTGCTCAGTCAATCTGCTATCAGGACTTTTGGGCTAGTAATGCCCCGATATGCGTTCATGAATGCCGAAAAAGCTATGGCAGCGCAGAGCCATTCTCTACTGGGTCGCAGTGGTATTACCGGAAGCAGACAAATGCGCGAGAAAGGGATCTTAAAAAAGTACATGCAACTATGTAGACGAGTCGAAGAGATGGGTAAAACATTTGCATACATGCGTTGTATCGCGCTCGCTTTGGCCACTGCTTTATGACAAAGTACACAGAGTTTATCAAGGATCTCAATATCGAACTTTCGGTTTCTCATTTAATTTTTTACTTTTATTTAATTACTTCTTGGATAACAGTTATTTCTGATTTTTATTACATGTATCCAAAATAACAGTTATTTTTGACATTTTTTTTCTAAATAATCTGCAAATAACAGTTATTTTTGATTTTTATATTATATACTAGTATCGTAGTACTATCAAAATATTATCATGCCTTAGATAACAGTTATTGAACACCTTTATTTATGAAAGTCATCGATACAAATCAGTCAGTAAATTTCACTTTTAAAAGTAATCAATATAAACCAGTCACTCACTTTTATTTTTTATGTCATACTTATAACTTAACTGATTTTTATACGTATGTGTTAAAAAATAAAAGCCAGTGACTGATTTATACTGATGACCTTTAAAAGTTAAAGTCAGTGACTGATTTTTATTGATGACTTTTATAAATAAAAATCAATAACTGTTATCCAAGACATATAATATAAAAATAAAAAATAACTGTTATTTGCAGATTATTTAGATAAAAATCAAAAATGATTGTTATTTTGGATATATGAAATAAAAATCAAAAACAATTGTTTTTTTACCTGTTTTTTAATTGTAAAAATTTATTTTCAAATTTGTTTATCAGTGAAAAAAGACATCGATTATTATTTATCACTTAGTTGTGGAAACTTCTTCTTTCATAGTGAATTTCTCAATGACCGTTTTCATCAATAACTGTTATTTCGGTCCCTGAATAATTCTGAATAAAATTGGTGAAATTTTGATGAAACTTTGCTTTGCTTTTTTTTTAGTTTTTGTGCAAAATTCTTAATTTCTAGAGGACCACACCTTCGACAACTTGAACAGCTTAAAGAAACGGTTTATTTGGGACATTAAATATTTATTTAGGTGTTACATACACATTTGTCGTAGTTAATGATCGAAATTTATTCATTTCACAAAGGTTAAAAATACACATTATATAAGTAACATACATACACAAATATGTACTTACATACATACATACAAAAATCTGTTTAGTTCAGGACAATAAATCACCGTCACTGAAGAGGCGTTTTGAAAAGTTTCCATAGTTTTTCCACTGCAAAACACAAAAAAACCTAACTGGTATGCAGGGTAAAAGGAAAGTATTGGGAAAAAGGACACGGAAAATTAGAAAAGCTTTGACATTTGCATATCTGACCGAATATACGTCGAGGGAAAGTTAAACGAGAAAAAGTAGCAATCGAATAAAAAAGAGAAAAAATAAATAAACGAGATTGTGTATTCAATTTCGATTTAACACTTTGCAGGCGAAAGTGTTTGGAATTGTTGTTGTAAGTTTTTTTTCCTAATCTTCTGCCTTGTGATTTGCGCTTAAATGGTGGACAACACAAAAATGCCGGCACATATTTGAATAGATAAAATACAAATGTAAAAATGGACACAAAATAGCGTAAATACAATCAACTAGTGACATTTGTTGGTTAAACTTTATTTTCAATAAAACTTTTCGAACTTCTGCAACAATAAAAAAAGTTTGCAACAAATTTGGTTTCCTTTATTATATTGTTTTTGTTTTTTTTTTTTGCAAATGTCAACTTTTTCTTATTTATTGTATTGCTTTATTTACTTTGCTCAAAATTATATTTGTCACTTTTCTCTCCTTCTATTTATTTATGTATATTCTCACTTCCTTTTTGTGTACGTTTGTCCGCCGAGGCATTCGCTTTATCGTGTTTTGTAACGGATTTCCCGGTTTGAGATTTGCAAATTTGGTTTTGTTTGTTTGTATTTGGTTCTACAGATCGGCAATTACGATATTTCCGCAGCGCACAGATGGACGCCACGATTATCGCATTTGGAATAGTCAACTCATCTCCTATGCTGGATATAAGCAGCCGGATGGTAAAATTATTGGGGATCCTATGAATGCTGAGTTTACTGAGGTGAGTCAGACAAATTTACATACATATTGTAAGAATATAGGCATGCAAGTGGTTCATGGTTCATTACCTAATTTTCCCCATTACTTTCCTTTTAAAAAATTTATACTATCTACTATATTTTTTTTAAATAAGTGCCGCATAACTGTGGCTAAAAAGTTAAGAATGCTCTAACTACGGTAATACAGAATGTTCCCTTGGTCACGGCCCACTGGCACATGCCTGCTTTAGAGCTGTCTATGTACTGTAGCTGGGTGCTCACCTGCACACATTGAGCTCTACTAGATGAACTCTAGATTGCTTTGCTACAATTATCTATCATAAAATCTTTTCAAAAATAGAGCTCAATGTGTTCGGCATTTGTTCGGCCACTTCGTGTGAACATTTTGGCAAGAATTTACATTACACTATACCCGTGAGATATTCTTAGGAGAATACGCCTAGACAGGAATCTACATACATATATTTTAAAAGTCTAAACCTGATGAGAGTTGTTATGGTTTCAAACGAAGACAATTATTAATATGAGGAACAACCGAAGACGAATATGAAGACAATACGTTCCCACGACAGTCGGGTTCACGGAACGACCTAGATTCAAATCTGCCCAATGACTGCCACTACAGGATTATTCCCCAAAAACTCCCTGGGGATTTTGTATGCTGTTAAAACAACAACGGAGACAAATACGGAGGCGGATTAGAAGACAGATATGTCGACGGACGGACAAAGACGAATACGAGGGCGTACATACATATGTACATATGTATATGATGACGGACACGAGTACGGAGGCCAAAACCAAGACGAATGACGGAAAGGATATGAATGAGAATACGAAAACGAATACGGAGACTATGAATATGAAGACGATATGACGAAGAAGACGTATGTACATTAGGGTGGTCCAAAAATGCAAGTGAAAAAGAAAATTCGCAATTTTTATGTCCTCACCCCCTAGCATTGTTCTATACCGAAAACAATATACCCCAATTTTCGTATTTTGAAATAAAAATATATTTAGAGGTCGTTCAAAGAGAAACTGAGTTTTCCAATCGAAAAACATTGAAACACGAAAAGTACACTGAGGAGCAAACCCGGAACAGTAATACATAATGTGTATTTTCATGCAATATATTCGCAATATATGAAGACTTTTTTGTAATCTAGTTTCGGAATTCACGTTTCCAATGTTTATTTCATCAGAAGGCCTTAAAAACAATAATTAATACAAGCAAATAAAGAAGAAAAATTTAAAATTTTACCATTTGCTTGACTTTTAATAAATTGGTCATAACCGATTTGAATATTTTAGCTTTTATGGTCATCTTGGGATACTTTCGCACAGGTTTTAGACGAAATCTGTTGAGAACGCGCACCGATTTTCCTCAACGCCATGCCTAAGGTATGGCATGCGATTGGGCGAATTTTCGCTATTGAACAGTCCATAAGTTTTCTGTTGAATCAGTTCTGGGCTTTACGCAGGTCACTCCATGATTATAAAAACTTGGGATTTATACCTATTTGGCCCCAGTTTCGGAGGATATTTCTGATCATTGTCCTGTTAAAATTGATAAAAGCCTGCGAAAATATCCTCAGAAATTTCCAAATTCTTTGAAAATGCTCATTTGTTGTCTCTTTTCTTTTTACCGTCGATTTTACCACAGTTCTTACTCCCTAAGGCGCAACACGGCCCTACATCATTAAATGTACACATACCAGCCTAATAGTTTAAATATTTTGGGACGTTAGGCGTATCCCTGATGCAGGTACACAGCACTTGAACCAATATTCCGACTTAGAACGTTTAATTTTATGCTCAGAGTTAAAAAATTTAGGGCCGTGCCCTAATTAATAGTAAATTTTGGTCGAATAATGTGGTCGTTTATGAAGAACTTGTAAATTCCCGCTTCAAAATAATACCAATCCAATTTTTTTTCTTAGTAAAAATGCGTTTCTGACAAACAAATTTTTCTGGATGTCAAAGCAGGCTTTCTCCTCTTTATCTTTGTGCTGCAATAACTTGTTCCCATGTCTTACATAATGTCCAGTCACTTGCTTTGTGGTGAAAAAGCAGTAATTTTTGATTTTGAATCAAAGTTTCTTGGTATTCAGAGACCCTCCAATATGCCTAGCCTAGCAAATTGCATATTTTTGTGGTCTCTTGATCTTGCAGACTGAGGTCCGCCCTTTTATCGCTTGTTTAGATAACCATAAAACGGACATTTGGCCGATATGATTTCTTTCTTTATAGCGTAGCCTTTCTGACCGTTTTGCAAAAACTTTAAATTTTTTTTTGCTTGGGTTCTGCACTTAAAGCACTCACAGCGAAAATCCAACGCGCCTTGATTGCGAAATTGCAGGAAATGAGCCAGAATTCCTCTTTGAATTATAAAATTCAGCAAATACTAAGAGGGTGCAAAACTGGAACAATCCAGTTCATTTTTGTTTGATCATTTTTTCTGAGTTTCCATATGCGAATCTTAAAATTTTTATGGTCAAACGTTTAGTTAAACATCGGTAAGGCGAAATGCAAGTTTGAATTACCATAAAGTAAATAAACTGAAGAAGTACATTACCACAAACTTAACTTTCCGTTCTATTGTTCCAGTTTTGCTCTTCAGTGTATATAAAGGCGAATTTGCTTCTTCTAGGGGAGTTTTTATGGTAAAAAAAAAATCGGTTAAAAAGGACTCCAGTCATGGCAATTTTTTCGCAGATCAAAGAGAGCCAAGGTCTTCGCGAACTTTAAAATAGAAAAACGCTCGAATTTTGAGAGTGCCAGGCAATCCTAGTTTATTAAGTTCGGTAACTATGGGGTGGATATAAAACGGATTTGACTGTTTCAAGGGCACGGCTAGGGCAGAAATTTTCTACCTAAGTTATCTGGGCGAGGCGAAAACAAACTTGTTTTAATCTAAAAAAAAAAAAAACTTATCAAAGTATAAAAGTGTTCAAACAATTTTTCACGTTAGTCATGCGTCCATCATATCTTCATGCTTAATATACCTACATACGTACATAAATTGACTGCCGAGGGCCGCCTGCTATCGGACAAAAATGTTTGATATTTAACATTCGGATTTGTCTGTCTCTTTGCACCGCTACACTACCCTGCAGGAGATTTCTATAGTCCAAAAATAGTTCAGGATGCGTTCCTTTTTCGACAACACTAGTTCCCGCTCAATCTCCGGACCACGGCTTCAACTGTCTACTTTTTAGTGGAGGTGTCATTAGCGGTGGACAGTTGCCCCACAAGCATTTCAATGTTCGTTGACGATTGTTGTAGCCGAGCGACCCGTGGGCCGATGTTGCTTAAACAATAACAACGCAATGCTTTGTTCGTGCATGTTGATGCTTGCACAGATGAACGAATCATGGTTAGATTTGAATTTTTTACACTTCGTTTGCCAGCAGAAATCTTTGCGTTGTTTAAGTATTCAGTGTCCCTCATCGCATAACAAAGCAACCAGTCCATGTCTAGTTCTGGTAGATACTATCTCTGAACTAGTAACTTTATTTCATGGGGACACTCGCGCACGGCAGGGCATGTATGGATGTATGTATGTATGTAGATGTTCAAACGACATATGTACATATTAAAAACATTCATTCATACAAGCATAATTGCTATTCCTCTCCCAATGACACCATGTCACGTCATGACTGCTCATACACTAGGCATACAACTCACTACACTCACTTTACATTAAATCTACACTCGTGCTAACGGACAGCTTTCAATTTATGTCCTTGTAAAACACATTTACACACATGCATACATACATATGTACATACATATATACGAATGTACAAACAATTAATGGAAACATTTCCATCTAATCTGCAGCAGTGCTCTACGCTTCAGCTTCCGCTTGTTGTTTCCAACACCGAACAAACATAGCCGTTGGTGTTTACCTAACGCATTACGTGCAACAACAAAGTGATTTTAGATATTTATTTAAATTTAGCATAAAAGCCGTTTAGATGCAGGCTCAAATTTGACCGAACGTTGGTTGGTCAGTAAGAGCGGTCGCGGCTTCACTGGCGAATTCGATATTTGGTATTGTTAGAAATTTTTGGTTGCCATTGACATTTTATTTGGCTTTTTGATTTGTCATCACGTACAGACATGCCCGGGCACATGTGTTTGGTTATGTGTGCGTATTTAGGGATTTTGCATATTTTACAGTTTGTGCCTTTAATTCCTTCTGAACTAGTTTTTATGTGTATTGAGCTATTTATTTTATTTGAATATTTTGGCTTGCTATTTCATTTCAGGTTTGCCTCAAATTGGGCTGGAAGGGCAAGGGCACGGAGTGGGATATATTGCCGCTGGTTGTGTCAGCGAATGGTCATGATCCGGACTATTTTGATTATCCACCGGAATTAATATTGGAAGTACCCTTAAGTCATCCAAAGTAAGTTTTTTTCTAATATTAAAAAAATAAAAAATAATAATTTCGTAAATGGAAATTTTGATGAAATGCGTTTAATTTTTGTGTGTGTGTGGAAATGCGTGTTCGTGTTGGTTTAAACCCGTTGTAACGAAATGTTTTCAATTAAGCTGGTATTAGTATTCCAGATATGCATGTTCTGATATTCTATTTTAACAACAAGGTTGAGCTCAGATGGGCGTAGGTTCATAGAAAAGCAGTCTAGACATGAGTCTGCTTAGTTTTAAGTATTGAAACTGAATCCAAATGAAAATCAGGGCTCAAATCGTAACAGTCGTGAATGAGCAAATCGTCACGTAAACATGCACCTTTTGGATTCTAACAGTCGTGAACCTACTGCTCGTCTCGTCGTCTCGTATATCGAATTACGAGACGAAATGTGCTTGTGACGAAGAGCTTTTGCACGAGCGTTTGTTTGGGTTTTCAACTGAAAAAAGTTTACTTTGCATTTGGCACTACAAAATTCAATTTATTTGTACACCATAGTCAATTTTTTCAGCCCGTCTCACCACAGAAAAAAAGTTACCGATTGGCACACAGCCTAGGGCAGAAAAAGTTTGTTGGGTTTTTATGTTGTATAGTTTTAGGCGCAATTTTTATATATCAGTCCAAGTAGATGAGGAGCCCAAAACAACTTTTCAAGCACTTAAGCAGGGATCACACGATTTCTACATTTGTACATTTGGCAGTCACAGAGTGGTGTTTTCCAGAAATTTTTAACGATAATGAGTGCAGCTCAGTAAAAGCTTTCCAAACAATACCACTCTTTACAAATATGCAAATCGTGTGATCCCTGCTTAAGTGGTTGAAAAGTCAATTTGGGGTTTCCGGCTACTACTACAAAGTTGTGTGCATATCTATATACAAAGAACAAAATGTTGGGTTGTAACTTTGATTAATATTAATGGGATAAATTATATCCAACCTTACTTACATAGTTGTATGTGCATATGTACAGCACATAAAATCTCCAAACCACAAAAAAGTGTGAGAAATTTGTTTAAATAAGTAGATCATCACCTTTTAAAAAAAGAAGAGAAAAAATAAAGTCAGACCATAAATATATACAAATATCAAACTTGCAGTTAAAGCTCTGCACTGCAGTCAACCTTAGTCAATTTGTGGGCTGTCTAAATAACTCAACTTAAAGATTGAAGTTATCCGCATTGAACTTAATATCTTAACAAATCGTTTGGTTTGCCTTTGGACTCAACGCACATCGCACAGTAGCCTTTCGCAATACCGCAATGGTTGGTTTGGCGGTTTTCCAGTTGAGTCAAATAAATCGACCGCTCAATAAAAGATAAATATTATTTGAATAACGGTTGCCACGCAATTTCGACACAGATACAGATTCATAAAGACAAATTGGTGTAAGTGTGCGTATGAGTGAATTTGTTAGCGTTAGGCAAACCCCTCCTAAATATTTATATACATATAAAACACAATAATGATATATGTATGCACTTGATAAATATATGTATTCGTAAATATACTGGAGCATGTGTATTTTATTTGTTTATTCGAGTTACGATGATGTTTACACATCCATCAATTGCAATTGTTTATTGAGGAAGCGCACCACTGCTATACATATTTTAGTTTACTATCATCTGTATCTGTATACATACATATGTTTCCTTTTCCCACCAGATTCGAGTGGTTTGTTGATTTGGGCCTCCGCTGGTATGCCGTGCCCGCAGTCTCATCGATGCTCTTCGACGTTGGTGGCCTCCAGTTCACAGCGACTACATTCAGCGGTTGGTATATGTCAACGGAAATTGGTTGTCGGAATTTGTGTGACACAAATCGACGCAATATGTTAGAGGTGAGTGAAAGTGTTGGTTGCGAACTACTAACAAATTTAAAGGTTGACATTCGAGTTGGAAAGTCGTGTACTACATACTGGCGTGGGCCAAAAATTCGCTTTTTAGAATTTTGTTTGGTACTTAATAGCAAAAATATAGTTCACTATGCTCTACAAACAATCTATGTGAAAGATGACAATTTTTGGTCAATATTTTACGCTCGCCCAAGTCCATCAAAGTTCATTGAGCTTACCGACTTACTTAGCTTATCTTGGCCACTATTTGACTACCTCTTGGTTCAATTTAAGGTTTATTGAGTGAATAGTGGCAAGTCATTAATTTTCAATACATTCATATCCTATTTTATTCTTCTCAACCATTCTGCTCGATCAGAGTATTCAGATCGGTCATAATTTTATCGTCACCATTACCGCTGCTAGGTTGACAACAAGTTTTCACCGTTGTCTTTATTCCTCATTATGCCGCTGGTATTTCTTTTGCCATACAATTTTCAGCTTAATTGCACAATAAATCAAAACAAATACACAACTTATACACGATTTGTTATAATAAAATATTCGCATTATTGTTTTTTTTTCTTCTCATTTTCCTTACAGACAATTGCGTTGAAGATGAATCTGGATACACGCACACCCACCTCATTGTGGAAGGATAAGGCTGTGGTTGAGGCAAATATAGCAGTGTTGCATTCATATCAGAGCCATAACATTACAATTGTGGATCATCATACGGCCAGTGAGAGTTTTATGAAACACTTTGAGAATGAATCAAAATTACGGTAAGCCATATTTAGAAGTCACTTTGGCTGCGTAAGCTAACTGCTTTTTTATTGAGTTATTGCTTTTGTTATTAGGATACATTTATTTTTGAATAACCACAGGGAGTGAAGAAAAGTGGTTGCAAGTTCGTAATTTGATTGTGTCTAAATATGTAGATTCGTTGTTTTGTTTTGTTGGCATTACTTTTGAACCATCAAGATTGCCGAGGCTTCGTGCTTATACATAGATTTCCGAATATAAGTCCCTCCTCGTTCTTATTGAAAACATAAATATACAATTTTATGACAAATTCTTTCTTTGATGAGAAAATTCTACCGAATTAAATATTACAAAACCACATTACTATCCAAAGGCTAACACCCAAATTCATAATAAATAAAGAAGATTTTAACTGCTTTATAAATCGACTATGAATTGGGCCATTAGGTGTTGTAAATACAAAAAGGCTCTAAATCACGGCCTATATTACGTTTACGATAAAAAATATCTTACTCACACTGATGATTTGTGGCAGATGGCTAAACTCGATGAGTGAAATACTCGAAACCACATTTAGAGGTCTATTCTTGTAACCGGTAAATTTTGTTACGAACTCATAAGTTGGTAACAAAATATTGCCCCGTGAAATATGCAATGCCAGCTTTTCCACAATTCTTCAAAGCTAAATTGCCAACGCACCTAGAATCGCGATGACAAGAAGTGGTAACATTTTTTTGGTAATATACGGTAACGTGCAGAATAGATCTGTTAAGGATATTTATTATTAGTCAGGAGAGATAGGACTTCAAAGAAGGAGATTAAATGCAACGCAGACCAACCAATCTTACCAAAAATCTGGCAGTTATTAGGAGCAGTAAACTCACGTGGAGGGCGAGAGTGGAGCAGATGGGTAAGAAGGCTTTCAAGGCTCGGTAACACCTGGGGCTTTTCTTCTTGACATTTAGGAATTCTTCAAGAGGTCGGAGAATGCGTAACTGTTTATGTATATATATATATATATATATATAT